CTAATATTTTTGAAACAACCTAAACCGCTTTCAAATTGCGGTTGAAGATCATATAGTGCTCGGTAAACTCTAATTAAGGACTATTCCACGATAAGATCAAAGCTAGTGTGCGCCAAGTGAAGGGCAGGCGACTTACAGCATGGATTAGCAGCGAAGGATATGCCCTTGGTGGCCCCAGCACTGCCCTCCCGGTACGCCCACCAACTGGCAAGCCACTCGCCGCAGGTCTTCTACCGTTTAGCAGAGAGAGGGAGAGAGAGCGTTAGCGCTGAAGAAGGCAATGCCGGTAAGAGTCGCGTCAATGAGGATCAACGGGTAAAGTAGGGGTCCATTTCTTGGATTTTAGGCCGCTGATCATGTTTTTTTTCCATTCCGGAACCACTGTACCTCCTCATCAATTCCGATGGGCTGCCTTTCAACAGTGAACTCCGTCTTTGAGACAGCACAATGGGATAATCGATATGAAAAGACCAAGGCACAACTGGGTAGAGGATCTGCTGTCGGCGTCATTTTAATAAAGCTTCAAGCATCTCGCGTTGTAGATCATTCAGTAATAACATTTGAATGCCCAACTCGGCACTCACAGATACCTCACGAAATACCCGTATACCAATTTTGATTTTTTCACCCTCTCAGACATGTTAGGGTACCAGCCGCCGATCGCGTAGGAATGAAGGACTTGGCTGGCTTGGACGGGCAGCCCCCTGCCTCTAAGCATGGTAAGCGGTGCCACAACCCACTAAACGACCGCGCCCTCGAGAAAAATAATCCCTCCAAAAAACCTCCGCCCAACATTAAAGCATCGCGAAAATGAATGGTAGGCGTTGGAATTCGAGGACAGATAAATGAAAGTTCAAAAAAATTGAGTGCAAAAATGAAAACCATTTTTCACAAGGACATTAAGGTGTAAGTTGAATCAGGCCAGGAACCAGTGTTTTCTAGTTTCCCTCCATGTTGTATTTCGCTGCTGAATGGTCCAATTCTTGCTCGGCTAGTCACCTCTTTCCTACTTCTCTTTCGCCTTTTACTTCTTCCCTAAACTTGTCTATAGATCATTGCATTACGTCAAACATTTCTTACCGGTTGTGGCGCGCTTTTGAGGCATAAGCTAATAAATAATAAATAAATAAATAAATAAATAAATAAATAAATAAATAAATAAATAAATAAATAAATAAATAAATAAATAAATAAATAAATAAATAAATAAATAAATAAATAAATAAATAGAACAAATTGCAACACGCAATGGCGTCTTAGCTTCTCAGTAAGGCGAGCTTTTTATGATTGTATTCTTTTTTCTTCGGTCGTGAGATTTAACAAAACAGCAGAAAAGTAATGGTAAAAAGTTTAAGGTCGGCGCAAATGGTGTAGTGGCAAGTGGCAAGCTTACCAGTAGCGCGGTCCAGAGATCGAATCCTGTTTGAGCTTTTTCCGGGTCAACCAAGCCTTCCACTCGGGGTCGGTTAACTGATGCTCAACTTGTCTGGGAGGATAAGAAAACACTGCCTTGTACTTCGGCGGTCCCGCAACGATCGATTGTATTAGCGCCACATTTGCATTCAACCCACTATGAATGTAAGATGGAAGTTAGTATGCGTGCCGGCATTCCAGAAGGGATTGTTACAACGGCCAAATGCCTCGATATATGCCTTTGCGAAAAAAGTATTAAACATCCGTTGGAATAGCTAGAGGTAGACCTAGCCCGAATGATGAAATACCTATTCAAGATGCGCGTTGTGATATTACTTACACGAGAAAACCTGCCATACCAACACTGATCGGGACATGCAAATGCTCATCCTTCGGCTGCGGTACCTTTTACCCCAGGTGTGATACACCTGCTGGCGCCAGTGTCAGCAAGTACATCACTCTCAAGCTCGATGCAATCCATGTCTATGGGAGTGCTTCCAAGAAATCCAGCTTTTTTTCAACTAGCAAACTGCTCTTTTTGACCTTGAAGATTCCCGAGGCAGTGAACACATTGCTCCAGCCAAGCGATGGATGAAGAAACTGCGAAAGGGCAATTTATTTCGTCTGAGTTGTCTCGTACTCAACCTTGGGGCTTCGAAATGACAGATTTTGTGTAGTGCATGGGCTGCCACTATTCGCTGCTTTTTGAATCTGCCCGGGATCGTCAAAGAATAATCTGTTACATGGGTCCAATGATCATCTTGGGGAACAAGATCGGCAATGCGCAAGTAAAGAGGCAAACTTGGCGGCATAGAATGCGCCATGCAGATCGTCCATCAGAATTGTACTCATTCGGACACATGACATGGTACTGTGCGATGGACTTGCGCGAGATGGTTAGCCGTTAACAAATCAGTTTTTCCATATTCGCGTTCGAAATTAGTGTTACTGGCAGACCCTGGAAGAAGTGAGGGCTCCGTTGTCATAAAAATAAGTTCTACCCTTAATTTGTTCCCAAGATCATGCGCCTAGTATGAAGGGTGATCGATCGTATTTTTTTGCCATTTTTTTCTAGTTCAGGAACGAGGTTTTCCAAAGAGATATACTAATAAAGGGACGATAAAACTCAATCGTGCGGGACAATTGAGGTACTACAGGAGTGCTGCGCAATGGCAAGGCGGGGTCACCAAGCATAGAAATTTTCTTTTACATTCTGCTTAAGTTCTAAGAGAGTACTGCAGCGCACTGAACCTTTTGGACTGGCAGAAAAAAAAATCAAAAAAAAATGTGAGTTATTCTATGGAGTCGATTTATGCTTCTCACCTTTCGCATGTTTTTTTTATGAATTCGATGGAGAGGAGTAATTCCCTTTGTAAGACCGACTGTGAGAAAATTACAACTTCTCAAGGGGCGTTCAAGTTCTCCCCCGGATTAAAACTTTGGCTGAGCAGTTCAACTTATAGCACGTGAGAAACTTCTGGATCGGCAAGTACTATTACCCTTTTATAAAGCCACGGAGCACATTTTGCATTCCGTTCAGCTCATGCATGGAGGTGCTTGTGAGTCGTTGAATGGAGTATTGGTTTCAGAATAGGCGAGAAGTAGTCAAGGTGCGAAAAGCCTCCACTAGCCGCCTCGGATTAAGCGCTGTTAGTCACTGGACTCGTCCGGGGGCTTCACACTGCCATTTTTCTCCAGCACTCGTAGCACTAACATCTGTTGAGGATTTGGAAATGGAGATGGTTCGGAAGTAAGAGGTAAAAGCAGGATGGCAGGGCTTGTTTGTTTCCGCGTTCTCCTTTCTGCATTCAAAAAAGGAAAAAACAGGCAAAAAATCTAGCAAATGGAGACCTATACTATGATATTTCCTGACAACATTGCCACAATTTCACACATTTTTCTTTTTTTGTGTTTTCTGTTTCGAACCGAGAAACTTGAGAAACACCGCAATGTCGATATTTTCTTTTACTCGCAAGGTTATGCCGAAGGGTCTTGAAAGAGGATTCCACGATCGGAGGTCAAAGAAATTAAAATATACCTAGTCGAAGGGAAGGCGGTCCCTCCCTCAGGGTACGGAACAAGCCCCCCCCCCCCCCCCCCCACCCCCCCCCCCCCCCCCCCCCCCCCCCCTATGTGCGATTTTGCAGCAAAAGTACTGGCCCTTATAGGAGACGGGGGCAAGAGTCCCCGCCCGCCTAAAACTAGGTCATCGCGCGCGACGTCGCCGGCGTTCTTCTGCGCTTGAAAACGATAGCACATTCGGAACCAGATTTGGGACCGCCCTCTCTACGGGAATCCGAGTACAACGCTCTTTCTGTTCCGTCGTATGTAGATCCCCATTTCTGCACTTTGGTTATATCCATTTGAGTGCCTAGAAATTGCACGCGCTAACCTGTGAGGACCAGGTTAAGGCGTCGCATGGCGGGTGACCCTAGTTGCGCTTTTTTGGGGACTCTTGGTCTTGCATCCGCCTGCTAACGACCTAACTGGCCGGTGAAAATGCACCGCGTGCCAAGTCACCAATAAGCTGTAAACGCTCGCGTCTGACCTCTACGCCAGTCAACAGAGGAGAGCAGTTAGCAGCGAGTGGTGAAAGCAGCACTGATGAGACTTGCATCAATGCTAACATCAACTGGCAAGGAAAGGTCGCACTTATAAGGTACCACGCCACTTTGCTTGGTCATTTTTTGTGCATCACAGACCACCTCTCTTTGAATTCGTATGACTGCCTTTTCAACTGATCCCCGACATTAAGGTCGGATTTTTTAGGTCTTTTTGATTCCGTAACCTTGTGGTCCCTTGAGATGATAAATTGCTTTGTCCTACAAGAAACCGGGACAGGGGGCCTCGTTGGAGTGAAACATTCGTCACATAATAAGGCCTGATAAACTTCCTCGTAGATGTGCTCTCTGCATCATTCGCATTATTCTATTAGTCTAAATGATAGTGCCTGACGAGCGCTCAGGAAATTACCTGCCCCGTGAGTGTACCGCTCAAACTTTTTGACTTCCACTCTCCTCCTCCCTCTTCTCGTTGCATTCTACAAGCTCACGTATTCTATTGTGAAAGAACGTGTGAACTTTGCAGTAATCGCTGGAATTTGAAGGAGAGCCGCTATTCGAAATGTGAATGGCGTCTGGGGTGTGCAGGGCTGGCAGACGGCCTCAGCAACAATACATATCGAAAAGCAACAAGCGAAGAAGTTTGAGGCTCACACAAGTCAGCTGATCTCAAAAGCTGTCCGGCATCTCTTCAGCTCTTAGAATAACCTTTACTTATTTACAAATGCATGTAAGATCCGCGACAAGTACAATATCGATCGAATATTCAATGACGAAATATAAAATATAATATAATATGAAATACATTATACAGAGAAGAATGGAAAGGACGATCGAATTCGGTAATTATAACAATAGCGTCGAACGAACAAAAAAGCTATAACATGCACTAAATCAGGCAGAATGGAACCCGTGGTGTATGATAATAAGAGAAGGCGCAGTGCTGATGGTGTAATTGAGTTGATAGCGATTCTGACGGCGTGACCCACAGACTATGGCACGTATGGCAGGATCCGATCCGTACTATCAGACAATATGTGCGGCGGCGGCACGAGGCCTCCTTGAGAAGTCACGCTCTTTTCGAATCTTACCACTGTCAGGTTCGGTCAGATATTCTCTGAAAGTGGTAATTTGATAGCTATAAGATTCACATTAGTTAACCATTTTGGGAGCAGGGTGAATAACGGTCGCGGAATCCTCGACCATAGCTCTGTACTGTGCGAGAATAGTGAATGTACGCGCGGAGAGCACAGACGGCTCGCGCATGGCGAGTGAATGTCCGCGCGGGAGAGCGTGACTGATCAGGCGAAAATCCTCGACGAGCCGTCGACAAATCCTCGACCGATTTTCACTCTGCTGGGAGCAGCTTCGCTAAGTAGAGAAGGCCGCTCATGCCACAAGGCTGATGATAAATATATTTACCTGAATTCGCCATCATCGGTCGGGTTTAGCGCATCTTTGGATGAACCCCGACTTCCGACAGGTTGTCGACAGCAATATGAGCAACAGAAACATAGCGTTATGAAGAGCACAATGGCGAGTGTGATCACCCCCAACACGAGCAACGTCATGTAGAATGAGTTCGCCTTAATCGAGCCCAGCATCGACACCTGAAATATTGTGCTATCTCTAATGACACTAGTAGTTGACCATAAGAGAACATGAATCTCCCTCTAAAAAATGTATAGCGGTGGTAATTTCTAGCTGAGATGTTTGCAGAGAACCTTCACGGCGATGTATCGGCTTCACTTGCGCCGATTGTAAAATATGCATGGAATTCAATGGGTAAGGAAAAAAAATGGAGGCTATTTCAGTAGCCTTCCTGCTGCAGCGCAAATTCTCAGTGCGGAAATCGGAACTTCTTCTACATTACAAGCATTTATAGTTTTATGTGATCTTCTGAGCTCTTGATACGCTTTTCACTCGCCCAAAGTGCGCATCAAACTTATGCATGACAAAGAAATTGAATTCCACGCACTCGAGGGCTCAAAAAGGGGGTAATAATTCAGCGTGCTGATTCCGTGTTGACATTTGAGCCACAACACATTTCGTTGAAATCGAAAGCAAATTCAAGTTAGTAAGTCAACTGAGCGTGGATACCTTTGGTGGGCGGAGTTTCACACAGTTATACATCTCAATGTTCCGATTCTCCATGTAGACATTAGTGATGGTGCATGGTAGTTCGCATAACTCAAGGCATTGTGTACGATTCGGGAAGGTGTGAGTCACTGAAATGAGTACAGTATTTGTAATGAGAATTGCAGAATTTATAGATTACCGTACCTGATCGTGGATAGGTGATTATCGTTTGTTCATCAACACTGTAGTCTCTGCTCGCGTAGTCTTTCGCATAACGATCACTGTATGCTTGACAGGAGATGACTAGGAGGCAGAGCAACGTGACCCTTCTCATTCTGGAAGCAGCTTCGTCAAGACGGTGGAGACCTCCAGCAGTACAACATGCACAGAAAAACGGAATTTGTTCAGAGAGTGAGGGTCTCAGCACGAAGAATCTGCTGGTACTTGGAGTGACGGTAGTCAAATATAAGAACACGATGACCTTTAGATAGGTGGCTCGCTTGGAGCTTAAGAACAATCAAGTAGTGCTATGAGGGTTTGCCAAATGATGTTGAATGTGGCACTTAAGCACCTTCTCAAGCAAGACTACAGCTCATGGGTCAATTTCCGGATCCCTTGGTAGGCACGCAACTGCTCGCTTTTCATATAGGACTTTACCAGTGCACAAGAGAACCTATACATAATGCATAGCACCAGAGAGAGCTCATGAAAGTTGATACGGCCCAGCAATAACGAAGGCACTTTCCTGCCAGAGGCGACGCCAAGACGGCGATTTTTGCGCCCAGCCGTACTAAATAATGCAACATCTACGCCGCTCCTAGTTCTGGCACATGCATTAACTAGCAAAAGTAAACGACGTGGCGAACGCCACCGCTTTGGCGACTCATCCCGGGCGGTTAGCCGACGACAGGGCGGCTATTTGCGGGGGAGGTGAGTCGTGTTATGAATCCATGTTCCTCAGGTGAGTGAAAGACGTGTCACTCATCTCGTGTCATTGTCGGACAAGATGAGCCGGCGTCACAGCTCTCAGCAATCTGAGACGAGCTCGATGTGATGACAAGCGCGTCTGCCATGACGATCGCGCGCGCGCATCTCGGAAATATGCACGAGTTCGCTGTTATCTCAAAACAATGCATGATCGACATCGTTGAATCCCCTGAACCACAGGGACCAGTAAATACGAGCTTTAACTGATTCAAAACGAACAGCTGCTCTCACGTCATCTACATCATTAAACTTTAAGCGAAATCGTGAAAATCACGCGCCCAAAACTCATAGGAATTTTCACGTGTGAATTATGAGCAATCCATGAATATCGATCAAAATCAGCTACGATCGCTAAAACAAAGCAGCAGAATCGATAGCACACTATGCACCACGTAGCGTCGTTATCATCTCCGCACTCATTCGGTTGCTGTGAATCAGCGCCAGCTCCCACCTATGAAGCAGGAAGTTGAGAGGATTGGCAGGTGGTCAGAGAGTGTGAGTTGCGGGTTTGTTTTGGTCTCGAAAGAAAAATTTATAACATAAGCGCCTCTTGGTCGATGTTGGTTGGCTGTGGGAATTGAAATTGCCCGTGTGTTGTTTGTGTCATTAAGAAGAAACCAATGTGCTGCAGCTCAACTTGCTCGACTCTCGACCTCCTCGCTCCACACATCCCCCACCCTCCTTCACTTTCACGAGCATGACGAATTTGATTATTTCACTCAAACTAGCCCAGGGGCGCATTTTGCCAGCTAGCAACGGTAGTGGAGCAACTAATTATCGTAAATTAGGGTCATGAAATGAGCGCCACCCGCCCTGACGTGCCCCCACAGGCTGCATATCTATTCATTGAACATCTTAAGTGGGACCCAATTGAACTCAAAAATGAAGGCAGCCGCAAGTGACAGGAGAAGACCCACTTCAAAGAGTTCATTATTCCCATATCAGCGATTCTGGGAGAGTTTCCTGCGAAATGTATAGCATTGCAATTAATTGCTGTAAGGGATATGTCGTGGGAACGTCTCAGAAGTGTAGATTGCTTTGTTTGATGAATGAACTTCGAGACATCCAGAAATACGAACTGAGCAAGGAACAACTGGAGGAGCAATGCACGTGTGTGAGAGAGAGGGCAAAAACTTGTGAAGTATTGGAGGTGGAGGGTTATCTCATCGGTCACACGGCAGCCAGAGTCTGACTGTGTGTGTGCGAGTGTGTGTGTGTTAGCAAACGATACGGGTCAGCGAGAAAACTTGGTAACGGTCTAAGTCTCGGTCTTTACATGGGCGAGACGTCAGCAAACAGATAAACGTCCTCACCTCCGGCTCCTCCACCTACCCTAATGAGCGAGTGGCACTAACGAGGTTCAGTCATGGAAAATCTTAACGATGTCGCCTATGGACTGTGTAGTGACGTGAAACAGATGTGCTGAAGGTGCTCAGTTAATCCCCACGCCAGGGTTGTTCCGTGAACCACACTTCCTGATGACCTTTTCGTTTCTCAAAGAGTGTGATTGATGGCACTGGAGTGAGGACTGAGTAAATCCAACGACGGCTGAGAAGTTTCTTTATTTCCCAGAAGAATTTGAAAGTCTCCAGTTGTTTTTTCTAGCAACACGTGCCTATTCGATTTCAGGGCATTTTATCAACGGTGGACTTTTTCTAACACTAGAGAAAAGTGCAGAAAGATGCATTTGTTTTCAGTAAACTTCTGAAGTACTGATCGACTATGACTGATTCCTCAGAGAAAAAATAAATAGACAGAGCAATTTTTCATCTCCCGTGACGAAATTCCTCTGTGAAAATTGGAAATCGTAGGCCCAAAGATCTATTGAAGCATGGAAATTAGTCCGGGTGCCAAGAATACAAATAGCGTTTGAAATTGCAACCGGAAATCGGAACACTGCGTAATTGAAATTCATAACATCCAGAAATTTTCCATGACTGAGCAAAAATCCTTCGGAGTAATACCTTTTTGGCAATAATGGAAATGTTTTACTCCCAACCTCAGTGATGTTTGGCCTGGGGCTCTCAAAAACCGACGGAACTCTTTATCGATTCTTGTAGTCTAACTTAAGTATTGCAAAACAACGCTTACTGCTTACTTCCTACTGCTTACTACAAGTGGCACTCAAGATAACAATAAGGAGCCCTAAGCTGTTTCGTGAATGGAGAGATTAGTGAATCCTAGCCAAGCAAGAGCACATGCATCGGCTAGAGTTGTGATGTGACTGACAATGATGTTGAGGCGGAAGTATTCATAGTAAATCCGGCTCGTTAGTAATTAGCAATCAGGATGAATTGACAGCATAGGAATGTATGAAAGAGTTTCAATTGATCTGGTTGTCGAAATTGTCAACGGCTCCGGAGAGCATTTATCGTCGGGCCGACGACGGCGACGACGACGCCGGCCTCAATAACATGTCACATTTCTCACCTATTCATACATTTGTGCATAATATCAGTTGAGATAGTCCTTGGCGGCTCAAATGCCTTGTGAGTTACGACACTGATGATGGCGTTATTCAGATGAAAGAAAAGAGGTTAGTGCAAGTGAAGACGAACAGAAGTGGTTGGCATTTCAGAGCTGGGGCTGCGAACAGAGAAGGCAGCCAGCGATGGTCAGCCAGTCAGTCAGTCGACACAGGGTCACGAGTCGCGTGTATTGAGGGTAGGTGACCGGATCGAGGACCAAACAATCGGGACCTTGGCATGCCCATACATTCGAGTGCGTCATAAGCGCGGCCTATGACTAGGAATGGGCGTGGCATCACGAAGGTCTTCAAGACGGCGTACGCGCGACCTTGCAGTCTTCGGTCGACCGGTGTCGTTGCCAAGTACTTGGAGGCATCACGGACCTCTGAGCACATGCTCGACAATTGTCTAACATGAACCGACCAACAATAGCCGATCCGACCACTGCAAAAGGACCGACACGATACTACCGGTGAGACGTGCGTGGGTGTAAATCACCCCATCCTCTAACCGACAACCGTTCAACAGTCTAATTGATACTGGTTGATATGGGGCAGTATTGCCTGGGTCGTGTTTTGAGAAGTTACCGACTCATCCCGAATTTTGCCCTGGTAGAACTAGGGAACCATGGTGTTCATAGGAAGGGTACTGGTCATTTGAAAGCATCATTCGGAATTCTGCACGGAACTCACAGTCTGGCTCGAGGACGAGAGGCAGCTGCAGTCGAAGCAATGCACCGTTTTTGAAGTGTTCTAACCAATTCTTAGTCCTAAGATGAATCATCCTGTCAGAACTAAAGCAAAGGTCTTAAATCAACTACTAATACCTCACCGAAGCTCATCTATAAAACACTGACACCCTGGATTTCTCTCGTCCGAAGCGCACTTTTCTTCCTCTCCGAAGCCAACTGTATGCATACGTGGGCGCGTCTACGAATGTGTTTCAGCAGACTTCTCAAAATTCACAGCACACTTCAGCCGTCCGCGGGGCTATCGGGAATGGGATTCCCGATCGTACATAGACATCAATATCGTGTAATGAATGTATCAACACATACGTGAAGTGTGACGGCGTGGAGTCGTCGGAATGGGTGAGTCAACAGACGGAGTGCGAAGACATTTGAAGCTGGGCGATGCTGGAGATTTCTTGACTACAATCTGAACGGCTACAAAATAGATTTCTTCCCTGTATACGATGAAACGCCATTGCCGTATGGATTATTCGCAATCAATAATTAGACTTTTTTTGGGGAGTGTGCATTCAGATTGGGGTATAATTATATTAAAAATTCAAGGCATGCTTTCATGGCTATTATTCCTGCGAGTTCTTTTTTCCACTTCTTATACTCGATCAATAGTTTCTCTTGGAGAGTTTTCCACAGGATCGCTGAGGTTTTAGCGAGTTTTAGCCGAAGAAAGCAATCAAACCCTTAAACAGTACGATGTAGGAATTTATGAACCAATATTGAAGGCCAATTGCACGTTAGCAGGATGTAGTCAATATAAGACTGTACTTGAGATTGAGATGTGACCCAGTAATGATGAAAGAAGCAAATTACACCTGATCGCCGAGCAAACAAGGCCAAAAATAAAGTGAATAAGAATAAATAAGAAAAAGCTGAGTTGGATGAAATGGTGCCCCGGTAGCGTAACTGGTAGCGCACTTGCCCGGAAAGCGAGAGGTGCGGGTTCTAGTCCCGCCTGGGGCGAAAGTTTTGTTCACAACCCAGCATTCTTGTGAAAGTGAATAAGGTCCCTTCCTTGTCAACGGCACTGCCTACGTCATAGAAGAGACTGCGAGTTTGGACGAGACTCTCTACCATCAAGAGATGGTAAAGGCCAGAGATCGGGGAGACATGGACACCAGCATGGCGTCATTT